GGGGGGGGGGGTGGAGGAGGCAGCAAACTGCAATGGAAAGCACACATGCAGCAGCTGCTGCTGCCACCCAGCACCCTGAGCTGCTGCTGCTCTGTGTGCAGCCACTGCCACCACCCCAACTCCACATTATCTGAAAACTCTGCTAGGCTATTTCAGGTAACCAGAGTTTTTACTTAACTGGCAATCCCCTTACTCCGGGGATGCTGGATAACAGAGATTTTACTGTAGTAGGAAATAAGTCACAATATATTCTTTGGCATGTCTAATACTGACACTTTTCACAAGTCAGAACATACCAGCTGTGCTGAATTTCAACCATTTATATAACCAATATATGCTCCAAAATCCTTTAGCTATGGTTTATGATTCTATATAATGATGATAATGATCATGATGATGATTGCCATAAGAAAATGATGTAGTAGGTACTTGATACAATAACCAGCATACCTCAACTTACATGTAACAGCTCAGACAATGACAGTTTAGGTCTCCCAACATAAAAATGGCCACATTAGAGCATCAAGTACTTCTGATTTAAGTTAAAACCTCATAAATCATTGCCTTTGATTGGGACCTAGAAGTGATCCAGCTGCATTTTTCCATCCAGTGCTATCTGTTGGAAACAGCTTTTTTTATCTCCCCAGATACCATGTAATTTCTGCATCATTTTTGACCTTCAAAATTCTCTCCAATATGACAGTTAGGATTTCATTTTTTTTTTTTTTTAACATTTAGCAAGGTTAAGAAGAATGCCATCTCAGCAGGATATGAAGCTCTTGACTCATGTTTTTAGAGCAGTGTTGGATAACAGCAATTTCTACTTTCTTGGCAACCCAGACAGTGCGTTAAATAGGGAGGCAGCAATAGAGATGTTGGAGGCCGATTCCAATAGCCGATACTTGAGGCATATGAGCCGATACCAATCTGATTTCCGATACCAGCTGGAAAAAGCTCTAAGTCCAGTGTGGGGGAAGGCAAGGAGGAAAGGAATGGGCGTGGGGAGAGGGACAGATCAACACCCCCATGGTGAGGGAGGGGGCATGGGCAGGCACTGCCCAGGTGGGGCAGGGACGGCAGGGCGGAATGGTTCTCGCTGTTGCTTGCAACCTAGGAGGACACAGGGGGGTGCCCCCTGGTCTTGGAGCAGGTGATGGCAGCACTGAGAGGATGCTGCATCCACCCCAAATTTCACCGCCACTCCAGTCCCAGCACCACTGCCTCCAGCCGTCCAGTGCTCCTCCGGCTCAGTGCACAACCTCCACCCACTCTCCGGGAAGAGCTAGGGCAGCACCGGGTGGCTGGCAACAGCAATGATGACAGCTGAGCGGCTGCAAGATTTGGGGTGGATGCAGCATCCTCCCAGCGCCACTAACGCCTGCTCCAAGCCCAGCCTCCACTGAGAAGAGCCCTGCACAGCCCCAACTGCATCCTGCCCTACCCCACACAGATCTGGGGGCACATCCCCTCCCCCCGCCCTCCCAGGATGCAAGCAGTGGCAGAAGCT